ACTATTGTATCGTTAAAAATTATTTTTTTATTTTGTACAAACAAAATAAATATATTGAAAAATATAAAAACAATAAAAAATTATAATTCAGATGTTAACTTAGTATCAAAAAACGTAAAATATTTGAGTAGCCCAAGACATAGCCAAAGATTGAAGCGCCACAGCACTGGCGAAAATTTAAATTTGCCGACTGGAAGTCTTTCGGATGATTGACTTTCGGAAAAGCGACGCTCTACTGTAATCATTTTTTTAAACCTTTTTTTTTTGTTTAAATATCAAATAATATGTAACATTGTTGCTTGCAATCATTGCCTATTTAATTTCTACTATACAATTTAATTTTTCTGCATAGAATAAATTTATAAAATACAAAACCAAATAGAAAATATTTTATAATACCTTGACTTTAATTCTTTAACAGTTTGTGCAATATGTTCAGAACCACCATCAATTAAATCTAACAAAAAAAAATTATTATTAAAATGGCAAAACACTTTGTTTTTTTTATTTATTTTTATTTAGACAGTGCATTAAACTGGTTATAAAAAGTAAATTTATTTAAGAAAATAATATTTTTAAAATAAATAACTTTAATAAAAATCATATTTCAAAAAATTTATTTTTATTTTAAATAATAGGTATGTATTTTAATTAATTATTCTTAAAAAAATTCATAATAAAGTAATTAAGATGATTTTGACTAGTTTAGTTATGAAAATTAACATTGTATATCATTAAATAACATATTTAGTACATTATAATTACTATTTGAACATCTGCTTGGTAGGAATCTATTTGTTAAATCTGACATATTAATAGAGAGTGAATTCACTCTTTATTGTCATCACATTTTCATTCTTCTCAGAAGACTCTACTAGATGTTGGAAATTGTTTTCCATTTTTCTATGACAGAATTAGTAGTTATCCACAGAAGTTGGGCAAATTGATCTGGCTCTCAGTACACATTCTGCTTCATTCCAAAAAAAAATTAAAATCAAGAATCTATGAAGATTAGTAAAGTTTTTCTATATTCATCTCATTAAACAACTTTTTTACAGACCTTGCTTGTAGGTAGAAGTGTTGTCATACTAAAATAAAAATGATCCTTAACTGTTGCCTCCTAAAAATAATCCTTAATTATTGTCATGATAAAATAAATGATCCCCTAAATTACTGCCACAAAATTATTCAGCAGCACAGAACTAATCAGAATGCCAGTGCTATGATTTACACTAGAACAATAGGTCCTAGACTATATGATTATAATCATAACCCTTAGTAAGATAGAATGTCCAAATATTTATGATAATATAATATACATTAATTATTTATTTTAATTAAAATTTGAGTTAACAGGATATGGAAAACTAAAGAGCTTTTAACATTTAAATAAATGGCAATTATTCATTTATAAGATTATTAGAGAGGTTGTGGCTGAAGTTTTCATCACTAAAACGTAAATGTCAAATGTTGAGTGCCACCATCTTGTAAGCCTAGAAGTTTGACAATGGCATTTGGAACATTAAGCATGATTCCAATGATGTTTCCAAATGCCATTGTCAAACTTCTAGGCTTTCAAGATGGCGGCACTCAACATTTGACGTTCACATTTTAGAGATGAAAACTTTGGCCACAACTATATATACATAAATACTTTCCATTTATTTAAATTTAAAATGTCTTTTTAAATTTATATTATATGTAATCTATGAATGTTATACATAAATAACTGATATTAAATTCAATTGTCCATAAAAACTAAAGCCACTTTTGTAGACATATTATAGCTGATTCAAAAGTTAATATTGTTAAATGATCCTCTGGATTATTTATTAGGTTAAAGTAAGACTAATTTAATAATTAGATATAAAGCAATTTGACTACAAATAGACTATTAGGTCACCATCTCATGATAAATTTAATAACTGAAAAGAAATTAATTTTTAGTTTAAAATTAGGAAATTCTGGAAGATCAGTCTCGAAAAGGGGACTTGAACCCACAAATCCTACTTACCATGTAGATGTGTTGCCAGTTATACTATTGGAACCTTGTTCAAATAGCTGATGCTTGGATCCTTTGCTCCAGAGATATTAATTAATTAATTTAGATATAACCATACTGATCAGTCATGGCACATGGCTCTCCATGGCTCCGAGTGCGGTAATTGACCAGTATGGTTAGTTACATGGAAATTAATTGTCTAATTGCTTTATATCTAATTATTAAATTAGCATTAATGTAGCCCAATAAATAATCTGGTGGATCATTTGGCAACACTAATTAAATCAGATTGTTGTATATTTTATCAAAAGTTAATACAGTAATACCTCGACTTACACGAACCCGGAGTTACGCGATTTTCAAATCTCGTTGATTCGTCTTTTGTTTGAGCGCCACACAACTCTTGATTACTCACTCCCCCACACTATTGTTCAGCTTACACGTTCAGATGTGTCGCGTGGAATCGACATATAGCTACAATTTATTTTGTGTTATTTATTTCTGTGTTTGTTATATCTATGGAGACTTGAGAGAATGGAATCTTTGGAATGTAATGTTAACATTATTAAAGACTTCGATACAAAAATGAAAATTTGTGAATTGGCAAAGAAGTTTGATCTACTGGAGTTGACAGTCAGAACAATTATAAAAGGTAAAGATAAAATTCTCAAAAAATGCTCAATCTTTAAATTCAAGCATCATTCGTGTTTGTCAATAAACAATTTGTGATGAATTAATGTATAATTAAAGATATTGATAAATGAAGTAAATAATTTATTGCATAGTTGATTTTGTTAGTACTGATAAGTAAACATGAAATATTCACCATCTCTATCCACAGAAGTTAAAACAACATAATCTAATCCCCAATCACTTATTGCTTTTGCAGTATTTACTGGCTCATCTGAATCAGGCAGTGGTGGTTTCCTGGATGTTTTCACTGAACAAAATCGACACCCTCTGGTACATGTATCACCAAGTAACTATAAACAAAATATAAATAATTATAAATCATCATCCAAAATTGTTTATAGAATAATTAATTTTATGTNATTTCATTTCATTTGTTTCATTGTGCCAGTCACCAGACTTCGCATGAAAATATAGAATTTTTCTACTGGCTATATATGACTTTTTGTGTTATCTCCTGGTATGGTATATTGGCATTAGGGTTTCTCAAATGAGATCCCGGGATCACGGTTGTTTCTTTAACCTGGGAAATATCCCAGGAAATTCTTCTCATCCCGGGAAATCCCAGAAATTTCTTAAAAGTTCACTTTTTTCTTATTTTGTGTTAAGGTTGAGGAAATTTTGCAAATAGAAAGTATAATTAACACATAAACATTTAATTTTAAACCTACTTATTAGTTTTTTTAATTTTTCCTCATTATGGCATGTCACAAATGGTCAATAATCAGTATGTAGCTTATTTGTGGCAGACTCTGAAAATTATTTACTTGTTGGTACCTGTAATATCTGGAATAATTGTGCTTGTGCTGTCTTAATTTTTAACCATGCCCAGTAGCTTCAATAACTGCATAATGCCAGGTTGTGCAAATTGGGCAAGGATACAAATGAGTACAAAGTCTGCAAGTATGAAGTTTTTCTTCATAAACCTGATTATTAAAGCCAAATGAATTGCCAAATTATCAGGCTATAAGCTTGATACCGCTATTAAAGCAGACAAGGTAGACAAATCAAGAATATTAGAGAGCAAAAGAAGTACTACAATATCAAAAATGAACTCGAAATCTTCTGGGCTACAAGTGAAAAAACATATAAAATCTGTCTTCTCTTAAATGCATTAAAGACGATTCCACTAACATTAATTAAATCGGAAAGGGCATTCTTGGTAGCAGGACTTTTCATTACTAAAATAAGAATCAGATTGACTGATTGGAGTATTGATCATCTTTGCTTTTTAAAATCTTATTATAAAAATTTACAATAATATTTTGTATTATGTTTTATTTAAAAAATGAAAATTACCTTCTAACCGTACGTTTCTATATTCAACAGTTGACTCAACGGTGAGAGAACAACGTTTCTAAATGGACCGTTGAGTTCTCCGTTGAGACTAGTGATGTCAGCGCTGTTTCACCATTGAGCTCAACGGNAAAATGAAAATTTGTGAATTGGCAAAGAAGTTTGATCTACTGGAGTTGACAGTCAGAACAATTATAAAAGGTAAAGATAAAATTCTCAAAAAATGCTCAATCTTTAAATTCAAGCATCATTCGTGTTTGTCAATAAACAATTTGTGATGAATTAATGTATAATTAAAGATATTGATAAATGAAGTAAATAATTTATTGCATAGTTGATTTTGTTAGTACTGATAAGTAAACATGAAATATTCACCATCTCTATCCACAGAAGTTAAAACAACATAATCTAATCCCCAATCACTTATTGCTTTTGCAGTATTTACTGGCTCATCTGAATCAGGCAGTGGTGGTTTCCTGGATGTTTTCACTGAACAAAATCGACACCCTCTGGTACATGTATCACCAAGTAACTATAAACAAAATATAAATAATTATAAATCATCATCCAAAATTGTTTATAGAATAATTAATTTTATGTTGTTCAGAAAGAGTGCCTTAAAGATGAAAATAGTTTTACAAAAAAATGATAAGTATAATATAGAAATATTTTTTTGTAAATATTATTTCTTACAATTATATACATGAAATGCTCTTATAGACAACAATATATATGTACTCAACCTTCAGAATTGAGAGTGAAACATATCATAGACAATGTAGAAAAATTGCACTGTGTACAAAACTTTTCAGCCTATGTTTACTAAGAATGCAGCTTTTTTCTAATTTGACTATGAAGATCTGTTTTTTGAAAAGGAAGAATTCATAATTAAGAAAGAGTGTGAGAAAGTCATATAATTACAAGATTCTAAAATAAATAAATCTTTTGACTATTGAACACAAGACCGTGTTATTAATTAAACACTTGGCTCAACTGAATAAAGAGGAAAACGCCAAGTGTTTAATTAATAACACGGTTTCAGAAAACAAAACAAATAAATAAATCTTTTTATAATATATATAAATGTATAATATATTCTGTTTTAATATTAAAAACATAAACAATAAATACAGTAAACTTCTCTAACTCAAAGCTCCAATGGAAGGGAAAATCTTCAAATTACAGACAATTCAAGTTAGAGAACAATAAACTAAAAAATAGCAATCCTGAATAGATTTCTATTTTTACCTCTCTTGCTTTATATAAAGAATTTTTGATAATGCCTTTCAGCAAAATGTTCAACATAACTAATGGATCCAATCGACAATGTACTATACCGGGTTAAAGTAAATAAAAAAAAAAAAAAAACCAACGTACCAGGAACCTGTTTCTGGTGTGCTTCTCGGTAAAACAAAGTGTTACAAACGTTTTCAAACTTTTTCAACCAAAGTGTTACAAACGTTTTCGAACTTGTAAGAACTTACAAGTTTGAAAACATTTGTAACACTTTGTTTTACCGAGAAGCATACCGAAAACATATTCCTGGTACGTTGGTTTTTTATTTATTTATTTATTTATGGAATCAAACAGTTTTGCAGGTACATCATGTTGAGATAAAGCAAGAGGACCTCTCACTTTGGACTTCAAATGTTGTCTGAAAATTGGTGTTGGAGAGTAAATATAACTAACTGTTTGAAAATTTCACAAAAATCTGATAATTAGGATCACTTTGAATAAATATTAAAATTCAAGTCAAGAAAGTCTAAATTAACATAAATCAGTGTCAGGGGACTGTAAAAAACTTTGACTTGGAGAAAATCTGAGTTAAGAAATTCAAGTTGAAGATGTTAAATTCCTTTGCAATTCCATTGAGACCTACCAAGTGCTTCATTTTCTTCAAGTTAAAGAAATATTTGAGTTACAGATGTCTGAATTAGAGAAGTTTTACAGTATTAACAATTATTTATATATAACAACAGATGGCATAATATATGTATATAACTCAATAAAACTCTGCTGTACTAAACAATAGATTTTGCTGCAATTTTATAATTATAATTTATTTGTTACTAGCTTACCCGTCGCGCATTGCTGCAATCTCAGAAGAAAGGAAATTCAAGCAAACTCATTACGATAAAATTCAATTTACATTTTATCATTTTTATTGAAACTTATTATTATTATTATTATTCATTTTCATCGGTAAAACATTTCAAAGTGTCATTTCAATTCTATTTATTTATTGGAGTGCTTGTGGATACACGATATTTTTTGTTTTTCCGTCTGGTGTGTATACAAATATATCAGAAGGTTTTCCGACGTGTGAGCTGGCCACATACAGTTGTCCATGTGAGAAGCACGGATTCTCCAAATTTAGCCCACACAGTTGCAGCGATTGTCAGAAGTGCGATATTCCCCATTTATATATATATTTTTTAATCGTTTATAATTTTAATTATTTAATTGCTCCTTCCTCTCTTCCTTGGAATGTTGTGAAATTTCTGATAGTTAAATAATAAACTGTTTTATTGTAATTTGTCTTTTTAAATTATTTTGAGTTGATATTAAAATTTGGAAAAGGGGGATACCCAGATCAGTAAAATAAAATCGGTAAAAAAAAATTGAATTTCATCCTACAACTTCGGTAGTTGTTTGGGGTACAGTTAAGGTTTTAACGAAGTTCAAGCGAATACATAATTAGCAAAAAAAAATTGAAATAAAGTGATTAAACAAAAATTATTACAAATATCGTAAATAACAGTTCACAAATGCATATATAGAGATATTTTTTG